ATTCACCCTTCTGGCATTAATGAACGCTTTTCTTATGTTTAATGCCATCATAGACAATCCAGAAGACATGTCTTCTGTTTTGTCTATGATGCCATCTGTCTTTGCCTGTCTATAGCAGACATTGACAACTTCTATTTATTACTTTTACTTTTACCTTATTCCCACTCGTGTTTTGTTTTGATTATTATTTTTTGTAGTAATTGTCTTAACTTCCTGTTTATTTTTATATTTTTAATTATATTATATTCTGTAATGCGATTTACATATTTTGTTTACACTTTGTTATTATTAAATCCATCTAATTGGTTTATTTTTTTGTCACGTGATGCTTTCATACTCTTAGTATAAAAGCCCGTGCATTTTCCCCGATCCCCTGCTACTAACTCTTGACGAAGGGCCTTCGCTCGAAACGTCGAGTTTCTGCTTATTTTTTAAGGTAGTAATATAACCACTCAGCACAGCATTTTCACATTGGTACTACCTACACTGGTACAGACAGTTTTAGTATATACTGTAGGTAGTACATATATATATATATATATATATATATATATATATATATATATATATATATATATAGATATATATAGATATAGATATATATATAGATATATAGATATATATAGATATAGATATAGATATAGATATATATATAGATATATAGATATATATAGATAGATGAGATAGATAGTGTATTTAAGATTCACCTTGCAGCTGGACAGCTGAATTGCGTGATTTACAAGAGTATATAAAACATTATTTAAAAGATAGAATATGGGTTAATTAGGCATATTTACAAATGGTCATTAAAACGCTTAGTACTAAAAATTACATTAACTTAAGTTACTAGACATAGGAATAAAAGTTTTTTTAAATCTTTCTGTATTAGTTTCGAATCGTTCAAAGAGTCTATTGTTCCTAAGTTGGTAAACCGACTCATGTTTGGGAGGCAGTAAATTATGCAGTTTGTGTGTCGGATTGTTAGTAATATTTGTGAAAAGTTTGTTACACATTTCTTCGCGTCTTTGGAACAAAGTTTGAAGATTAAAATATTCTAAAGTTTCGCTATATGAGTTCGCGGGTAAAATGATCTTCAGTGATCGCTTTTGTACCGTCTCAAGATCTTCTGACAGGAAGGATGGGATTGAGTAATGGAAAACCGGGGCACAATATTCCAAAATGGGCCTGATAACTGTACAGTAGAAGTTTACAATGTCTTTCGGACTGACTTTTGCGCGCTTAAGTAAGATAATGAAGTAAAGACGTTTGTTAGCTTTTTTGATGACTTCGTTAATGTGGTTAGTCCATTTAAGGTTACTAGAGATGGTGAGGCCTAGAATTTTAGCGTTTTGGACAACCGGCAATTTCTTCCCGTAGACTGTAAGAGGGTCGAAGTTCTGTTTCGTGGATTTAAAGTCGATTTGGAGTTCTTTACATTTATCTGCATTAAGAAGTAATCTGTTGGAATTCGACCAGTTTTCTACTGTGGTAACTGCGTCTTGGGCTTTGCTGGTATCGCCTTTTTTAACAACCTCAGAAACGGTTGTATCATCGACGTACTTCCAAGTAGATACTTCAGTGATTTTAAGATCATTGATCATCCATAGAAAAAGCCATGGCCCAAGTTTCGTGCCTTGAGGGACACCAGCCGGGACAGCACCCCACTCTGAAACGCAGTCGGTTGCGAGTTTAACTCTTTGTTTTCTGTCCAATAGAAAATCAATAGTCCAGCGTACGACTGCCTTCGGAATTGGTAATCTGGAGATCTTATCAGCGAGTATACAATGGTCAATAAGGTCAAACGCTTTTTTATAGTCGAACAGGGCTACTCTGACTGCTGCGCCAGTGCCATCAGTTGATTGGGACCAATTGTGGATCATTGATATCGCTGCCATAGATGTAGAGGATTTTGGTATCACTCCAAATTGGTTGGGGTCTATTTGACACAGAATAGCTGGCCCAATGTATTTAGAAACAACGAATTCTTCTGCTACTTTAGAAAGGGCTGGGGTGAGGGATATTGGTCTTAAATGTTTACAAATTTCGGTTACCGGTTTCGTTTTTATGATTGGAACAACATCAGCTGCTTTCCACGAGGCAGGGAGTCGTTGTTCATTAAAACTGCTATTGAGAATCGAACTGACAGGCTGGGCGAGAACTTCTGCATATTCGTTTAACACCCAATTCGGAACACCGTCTGGGCCTGAGGCTTTTCTGGGGTTAAGGGAGGCAAGCCCTTTATACACATCAAATTCGTCGAGATGGAGGACAGAGTCATTTGGATCGTAGGAGGAAAGAGAAGTAAGAGGTTGGTAAGTTTTCATGGGGTCTAGGAAGGCTGTGTTTATGAGATTTGCAATCTCATTTGGAGACTTCCGGTCAAAATCGTCAATGTGAATTTGGTTATATAGATCTTCCGCTCCCGTTGAGGGGGTCATACCAGCAATCTGTTTTACTTCTTTCCACCAACGACTTGGTTTTGACTTTTTTAAATGTTCAACCTTCAACGAATAAAACTTTTCACGGCATTTTTTTCTTTCGCGATTAACTCGGTTGCGGTAATACCTAAACAGTTCGTTATTGCCGTTAGAAAATGCTGCTTGGCGTTTTTTTATAAGAATCTTAAAATTAGCTGTGATCCAAGGGGGATCATTCACATGTAGTGTTATTCTTCTTTTGGGCATTAGGATATTGATACCCAGGTTAATAAGATCAGTGAAAAGCTCAAGTTTTTCTTCACAGGTTTCGAGATGATTTAGGATGGACCAATTACAGGAGGTTAGGTATCTTCCGAGTTCGCTCTTTTTACTGGGACGCATGTCTCTACTTATGACGACCTTTCGACTACCTGATTTATCGCATCTGTTTTTAGGGTTTAGAATGACCACATTGTGATCTGAGAGGCCAAAGGGAGGATGTTTCTCACAGAGTCTTTAGCGTAAAACGAGTATAAGTTGGTAATAATTAGATCAAGAGTCTTGTCAGCTCTGGTAGAAACATTGACCATTTGTTTGCATTGAAACTGGTTCAGTAGACGGTTAACTTTTAATTGGTTGAAGTCTCCTGATAACATTAGACCACAGCCTGGATAATCGCTTTCAATGGTGGTAAGTGATATTGAAAGGTAACTGAGCATTTCATGATCATCGGTGAGTGTGGGTGGTATATTACGCCAATTACAAGACAGGTAAATCCACGGGGTAATCTTTTGGGAGTAAGACGTACCCAGAGAACCTCTAACAAGGGATGCTGTAGATGGTCTAAACATTCAAAGGATATTGAGTTCTTAATATATAAACCCACACCTCCATGACAGCCCACTGAACGGTTTTTGAAGATGAAATTATATCCATCTATATAAAGACACGAATCGTCAATTGATCCATGGAGCCAAGTTTCGGTGATACAAGCAGCGTCTGGATTGTGAATTTTCATAAAACAAGAGACTTCGTCAATTTTAGGGGTAAGTGACATGGTGTTTGTGAGTAATATTTTGGGCACGAACATCTTTTTGTTCTCATTTTGGGTTTTAAATGAGACAGTAATTAAATTACCGTGCGATCTTGAGGGTATTTTATAAGATTTGTTAAAACTTCGGTTTGTGATTCTAACCGTTATGTTTTGTAGGTTTTCCTGATAAGGGGGAGATGTCATGAGTTTATGATCGCGGATGTTCAGTATGTCAGCGGGGGACAAGTAAGAGCATTCATCAGGGGGGGAGGAGGAATCATAGGCCAGGGGGAATGGGACAAAAAAGGTGACCTTGTGTTGTGTCTCGTACTGGTTGAAAAGGGAGCACATTGATAGATAGGGGTATGTAGGGAAGAACTTGGATAAGCAGTGGCATTCATCCTGGCTCTGGGAGCCACCATACCATGAGAAAAACCGATATGAGAATAATCACATCGATCGGATCCCCTTTCAAACAAAAACCATTCCTTCGTAGAAAAGGACAGGATATTTTGTGTTTGTCACGACCAGTCCCTTTATGCTGAAAATCACAACGGTTCCCTTTAGCGCACCATCCTCGGCGGGATAGAAAGGGGCAAGGGATAGAGCTTTTGGGAGAGTTGACGTACTCGTTATTTTTATCTTGGTTACTGACGCGGTAAAATTTTGTTTTCGAGTTTGAATTCCCGTTCTTGGGTAAGTTAATTTCTTTATTCTGGGCGATTAAGGGGTTTGGCAGAGGCTCGTCTGCCGTAAGATCTACTTTCTGTTTAATTAGGGGATTAGGCTGGGACTCGTCTGCCATACGATCGTCTGCCGTAAGATCTACTTTCTGTTTAGTTTGAGAATTAGGCTGGGGCACGTCTGCCGTAAAATCAATATTACTTACGGACGGACTAACATATTGTTGGTTATCGTGAGGTAGATTGTTATCGATATTTCGAGGTGAACTCAAACTGTTTTTATTCAAATTAATAGATTGCTTGCGGTTACGCGTTGAGGGTTCTTTTGTAATATTAGATAGGTTAATCGCTCCACTGCTTTTGTTCCGATACTCCGCTTGGGACATGAAATGCACTAATTTTTCAAGGTTCAATAACCTTGACCTAAAGAATAGATTTTCTTCGCTAAGTCGGGAAATAATTTCGTCTCTTGATTATGTACAACGGCTTCCATGTCTACTAGTTTTACTCTTAGCGAGATAATATCCGACTCATGCTCGTTTTCAGACACTGCGGCAAGCATTCGCGATTCTAAAATCGTCAAATCTAGTTTAATACCCCCATATCGGCGTTAAGATGAGCACAATTACAGTCAGAAAGCTCGGGTTCATTCATGCAAAACTTATCTGTAGCAGCGTGTTCGGTGACTTTATTGTTTAATTGACCAGTAACTAGTCTAGATGAATCAGTTTTTCGTTGATACCCTCCTTTAACTTCCCATTTAGAGTTATTGAACGAGTACTCGGATGGCATCTAAGATCTAAATCTACAGATTTGTATTGCTTCACGTCGCCACCTGGGCAGCCCCATTCGCCATCAGTTGTCGGTAAAAATTCTTCGACAAATTTCTTTAATTCTTCGAACGAATCCTTCCAGATTAGCTTTCCTTTATTGTTTAAAGGAAAGCTAATTTATTGTTTTAGGGAACTTATCAAATTGTTGAGGAATCGTTCAGAGGTGTTCTTTCAAGTTAGGAAATGAATTGGTCAACATTTTTCGGAACGCTTCTATTGGCACGACTGTAAAATTGTCACAATACGCCTACTTCTTTGTATGTTTGCATGGCGATAAAACATATAATAGTTTTGTTTGTGGAAACACCACGTAAATTTATTACTGCAAAGCTTTCGATCCGTAAGCACGGATCTTCATCAGACATATTATTAGCACTGATGAAGATCCGGGCTCACGGATCGAAAGCTTTGCAGTAATAAATTTACGTGGTGTTTCCACAAACAAAACTATTATAATACGCCTACTACTATACAGTAGTGCTAAGTTTTCATGAATATTACAGTCGATTTCACATAACTTTTGCCGAATTTTTCCGAAGTTGGTTGCGAAGTTCCGAAGTTTGCCGATGTACTTCCGAACTTGGCAACGAAGTTCGGTTTCAATTTATACATGGCTGTCTGCATGAAAGACGCATCTGAGAAAGAGAGATGCAGCGCTTTCTTATATATCATTAGTCAAGATGGCAGAGATATCCATAACACATTTGATTTTGAGACAAGCGAAGTAGACAAAATAAAACCGTTAATACAAAAGTTTGAAGAGTATTGCATACCGAAGCAGAATACAACAATGCAGCGATACAAATTTAATAAACGTGTGCAAGGCGAAACCGAATCAGTTGACCAATACGTTACGGAACTACGGCTTTTGGCGAAAAACTGTCGTTTTTGAGAACTAGAAGAAGAGTTAATTCGGGATCGAATCATTTGTGGCATAAAAGCGGACAGACTTCAAGCTCGAATGTTTCGAGAAGACAATTTAATTTTAGACAAAGGCATTAGCATATGTAAAGCAGACGAAGAATCGCGTAAACAACTTAAAGACCTAACGAAAGATGACAGTTTTAAAGTAAGTTCAGTGAAGAAAAGTTCAAGAAAAGGGAATAATGAAAGCAGACCAGCGAAGTTTGGGCGAGAAAAACAGAAGATATCCTCGAGCGGCTCGAGCGAAGTAATAAAATGTAGCAAATGCGGGCGAGACCATCCAAGCAAGCAATGTCCAGCATATGGCAAAGTCTGTCATGCATGCAGAAAACCAAATCATTTTGCGAAGTGTTGTCGCTCAAGAAAAGTACATGGAATTGATCAAATGCATACATATCCGGATATTCTATTTGTTGGAACGGTTGATAAGAAACCCGAACAGTCGACTAAAACAGAATTGACGAAAGACGAGTGTTTTATAACTCTAGAGGTTAATGAAACACCGATCAAGTTTAAGGTTGACACAGGATCTCAAGCGAACATAATTCCCATGTCGATGTACCGAGAATTGAAAGGACCTAAAGAACCAATTCAAGCATCAAGGACCTCATTGACAAGCTACACTGGAGATAAGCTTAATCTTGTTGGCAAATGCACGTTGAAATGTATGAACAGACGGCTAAATTTTTTTGTGAGCAAAACAGATCAGTATCCTATACTGGGTTTTCAAGCGTCGCAAGAACTCGACATAATCAAAGTTGTGATGAGCACTAATAAAGAGGGAGATCTTAAGGAGAAATACTCCGATGTATTCAAAGGCTTGGGTTGCCTGAGGGAGCCATATCACATTGAAATGGATCCGGAGGTATCACCTGTAATAAATGCAGCGAGAAAAGTTCCTGTAGCAATAAAAGGTCGTTTAAAGCTTGAATTAGAAGATATGGAGAAGCAAGGAGTTATTCGTAAAGTGGACAGACCGACTAACTGGGTCAACTCAATTGCAATAGTGGAGAAACCAGGCACGGGGAGACTACGAATATGCCTACACCCGAAGCATCTAAATGAAGCGACAAGACGGGAACATTTCCAATTACCAACGGTAGAAGAAATAGCTTCTCGGGTATCGGGTGCGAAAGTGTTCTCCAAACTAGATGCAAGACATGGTTATTGGCAGATACCATTGGATGAGCCAAGCCAACTTCTAACGACGTTCAGCACACCATTTGGCAGATATTGTTTCACGAGAATGCCTCTCGGCATTAAATCTGCGCAGGAAGTTTTCCAGAAGAGAATTTCGCAGCATCTTGATGACCTCGAAGGCGTAGCCACTGAGATTGATGACATACTCATTTGGGGATCGATGAACAAGAGCACGACGCACGATTAGAAGCCACCTTACAACGATGTGAAGAAATAAACCTCACATTAAATGCAGACAAGTGCAAGTTCAATGTGAATGAAGTATCGTATTGTGGTCACAACTTCACGAAAGACGGTGTGAAACCTGACGAGTCGAAGATTAAAGCAATTCAAGATATGCCAACACCCTCTTCGAAGAAGGAGATTGAAAGATTACTTGGAACTGTAAATTACTTAGCAAAATTTGTACCTAACCTAGCAACGATAACAGCGCCAATCAGAGAACTGCTGAAGAAAGATATCGAGTTCTAATGGTCGCACGAGCAGACAAAAGCTTTTGATGAGATTAAAGAAATTCTTACCCAGCAACCAGTTCTAAAGTTTTTTGATCCAACTAAACCGGCTATAGTGCGTTGTGATGCTTCGCAGAATGGACTTGGTGCAGTTCTGATCCAGGAAGAACAACGGATTGCCTATGCGTCTCGTTCTATGACTGAAGCAGAAACCGGATACGCACAAATTGAGAAAGAACTACTCTCTGTTTTATTTGCTCTTGAAAGATTCAATGCGTACACCTATGGCGTGAAAGTTCTTGTAGAAAATGACCATAAGCCACTTGAGATCATTTTAAAGAAATGCTTACATGACGCTCCTCTCAGATTGCAAAGGATGTTGTTAAGATTACAGAAATATGATTTTACCTACAAGCATAAGCCGGGCAAGGATCTTGTGGTAGCGGACACTCTATCACGGGCACCACTTCCCACTACAGATTCAGAGTTAGAGAAAGAAATATCTTGCTATGTTCACATGGTGATGTCCAATCTTCCTGCGACAGATGACATGATGGCGAGACTCGGGATGGCCACAGAAGAAGATGAATCACTACGGCAGCTGAAGAAGACCGTTTTGAGCGGGTGGCCAGATACAAAACGAGAAACGCCAGTCAAAATTAGGGAGTATTGCCATTGCAGAGAAGAAATCTCAGAGATTGATGGAATTCTTTTGAAGAATGGAAAGATCATCATCCCAAGTTCCTTTCGACCAGAAATGTTGGAAAAGATTCATGCTGGACACATGAGAACCGAAAATGCAAGAAACGTGCACGGGATGTTCTGTATTGGCCAGGGATGAATTCACAGAAAGAAGAAATGGTCTTGAAATGTCCTACCTGTCTAGAATATTGACCATCAAACCAGAAAGAGCCCATGATTGTTCAACCAACTCCCACGATTCCATGGGACACTGTCGCCACTGATTTGTTCTAGTGGAACAATTCAAACTATCTATTAGTTGTGGACTATTTTTCACGTTATTTTGAGATTGCGAAGTTGCCAGATATTAAGAGCAGCACCTTGGTTACTTACATGAAATCTATATTCGCCAGACACGCGATTCCAAGAGAAGTAAAGAGTGATAATGGTCCGCAGTACTCATCACAAGAATTTGGAAAGTTTTCGCAAGAGTGGAATTTTCAACACACGACGACCAGTCCATAACATCCACAAGCTAATGGTCTAGCTGAAAGATCGGTGCAGACTGTCAAAAACTTATTAAACAAAGCAAACAGAGATGGAAAAGATCCTTACGTTAGTATTTTAGCTAGAATATCGAAATACACCCATTGATCAGTTCACCAGCGCAATTACTGATGAGCAGAAGATTAAGATCTGTTGTTGCCACAACGAAGTCTCTGTTACAACCTAAAGTCATTGATGAAGATCTAGCGAGTTCGAAGTTAATAACTAAGAAAACCTTTCAGAAACTGTATTATGACCGAGGCTCCAAAGAACTTCCTACAATATCACAAAGCGAGCAAGTTCGCATAAAGCAAGGAAAAATATGGAATCCAGCTGTGGTAACTAGTCAAGCAGACACACCAAGGTCATATATCGTGCAAAGTCCAGATGGAAGAACTTGCAGAAGAAACAGGAAACACATTCTCAAGACGAAAGAAGGAAATTCACAGTCATTTGGAAAAGAAGATTGTGATGATCCCATTAGTCAAAGCAATGAAGAGAATGCAGTTGGTACAGAACCAGCAAATGATGGTGATAATGCAGTATCTACAGAAGAAACATCAGAGGAACAATTACCGGTAACACTTGATAAACAATTTAGTGCATCTCCACTAAAGTCTAGAAGTGGAAGAATAATTAGGAAACCAAATAGGTATAAGGACTATTAGTTATGAACATTAGATAATAGTTGTTTGACAATTAATTAAACTTTAGATCAATTAGATAATTTTAGAACAATGACTTAAAAAAAAAACAAAAGAAAAAGAACAACTTATACGTATATAGATTAGTGTAGATACTTTTCTTATTTAAGAAGAGGGATGTTGTATTATTGTTTAATATGTTAATTTATGTATAAACTTAGCTATATAAGAGTTGCTGTACTCACATTAGTGTTAGTCTAATAAATGTTATACATACGGATGTACAAACATAACAGCATCCAATACAGATATTTGCCACCCAGATTGTGACGAACAAACATTTTTATAGTCGGAAAGAGTTCTGCCACTTGGAAGTTTTAAGAATCCAGATTCACGAAGGTCAGCATAGATGCTATGCGATTTAGAATAAATACGAAGGTACCACTTCAACACCAGAGGATGCCATCTCATTTGTCTGGAAGGCATATTCAAAGCTTTGGCTTGGTCTTGCAAGAGTGTTAGGAAAAATGTATCCGATTCATTTCCGGTATGTTCAATTATGTGAGATTTAAGAAGTTTCTTTTTGCAAAACGTTTTGTCACAGCCAATCCATTTACATTGATATGTCCTATTAATTGGAGCTTTATCCAAAACTGTTGGCATATGACAAGTAGATATATGTTTCTGAAGTAATTCTGCTGTTTCAAACTTGTGTTCTAATGGCAAACAATCCTCCCAATTTACAAACATTAGCTTCATTTTTCTCTATATTTTTACTAATACCTTCGTACAACTGTTTAAATAATGTTCTGAAAACAGAATCAGTATTGTTTCCCGCTGTGCTCATTTCTTGCTGATTTTGCTCCAGCCGCTTTAACTTAACCTGCATTCTATTGATCTTTGCTGCCATTTCTTCACTATTTTCTATAAGCCTTTCTTTTGACATGTATAGTTAAATCGAGTATGTTTAGAGTTACTGTTATTATTCTGATTTCTAGACTTAAGGGTCCTCATGTAGTGCTCAGTTTGTATATACATTCTTTGCAACACATATCTTTAATAAGAAAAGAACACTTTGTGGATCTTATACACTTCTTATCAGCAGATGTGGGCATTGTTTCGACAAATGCACCAGGGTCACCGTGAATGGTTTTAATTAAACACTGGAGAAGTGCTATCCTCAGGCAGCAGACTCATATACTTTTCAACTAAAATTCCGGAACAAATGTTCAGTTTTCAAGTGACTTCATTACCAAGTACAACTGATTTTTGCAATGTATTGCTTGTGGTATGCTGTCTATCAAGTCTGAAGATTTGTGTTTATCTTTAACAACAAAGTAATACCTACCATCTGCCAATATAACTATCTCATGTACAACGTGGTTGTTATCCAGATAAAATAAATGCACTTCTGATTTATCGATGTCAGCAATAACTTTCCATTAGGGAAATTTGCTTTCTATTGTGCAACTTAGCTTATCAACCTTGTATGCAAGACTTTGGGATCTTTCATTTTCCGCCAAACTAGAGAGACATTCTGCCTCCAAATCCTTATTGAAGTCATCAAAATTTTGAATGTCACTATTAAGACTTGAATCCAGAAACAGACTATGAATTGTTTGCTGGTGCTTTGAAACAATTCTTTCAATGTAATTAGAATAAAATTTCCATCTAAGACATCCAATGAATTTTCCAAGACCCTTGCTTAAATTATTAATTGATCGGTAGTAATAGTTTTGAATGTGTTTGCATTTGAAACAGACACAGGCCTACTCTGGGGCGGTAAATCGCCTAAAATCGCCCTAAATCGCCTAGAATCGCATTAAATCGCGGGTTAAAATTTTCAAATTTCTCTTAAATCGCCTAAAATCGCCTAAGATCGCTTAAAATCGCCAACATGCATTCTGCTTGATACATTCAGTCCATATGCTCAAGTTTATCAATTGCTGCTATTTTACGGGCAAATCATGTAACCAGGTGCTTTGCAATCAAAAGTAATGCAACATGGATTAGCAATCAAATAAGTGGATTAGGCTGACAATATTTTGGTCACTCAATAGGCACCGGTCATTGACAAAAACAGAGCCTTTACAATAATTAGGTAATTTTGGGATCTGAAAGACCCATAGATCCTATACACTACCAGCAACAAAATTGAGCTAGTTACCAGAATGAGCTAATTTCATTATTGGTGTAAATGGAGGCTGGGCTACAAATTAATCTATAATCTGCATGGCTTCTCCAAGCCTAATTGCTGTTAATTAGAACAACAGTAGGAGACTACGAAAGTCAATGAGTACGAGTGTTGATTTATATAATAAAGTCATCGTGTAATTTGTGCACTGTTGCATGTAACATCGAGCACTGCATTGTATACAATGGTTGTACTTCGACATGTGCATGGTTATACTCTAGCTCCAGCCTCCTAGTTATAATTATAGTGGCTATCAAACGAAAAATATACGTGAGGTTATGAGCGATTTGCAACTCTCGTCTATTAAATTTTCCAGACCTGTATATACAATAAACAGTAAAACAATGATTACATCGTACATACCATACAATAGATCTTTTGTTGTTGTTTGTTTGCAGAACCTAAAACCACGATGTAGTGCGCCATTTGTAAATTAACACTGTATTATTTTGTTTTTAATTTATATACGATATACTTCATGTAATTTAAACATTACGGCATTACGCCGACAGTTTCCGAATACTTTATAAATATGTTTGTAGCATTACGAGATTGAAACAGTCTAAATAAAATGCAAGCTAAATAAAGAAGTTTTGACATGATACAAAACAAGACAATTTTACTTACAAGGGTGACAAGGTAATTTATAGGATTATAGCTTATTCAGTTATACTGTATAAATACATTGTGTGTTTCTACCCCCTACCCCTTGTGTTTTGGAAATCAAATATTTATTATATTTTGCAATTTTAACTAGACATAAATTAATAATAATAAAGTTTAAGACATGTGTAGTGCATGGCCCTTAAGTAGTGTCTGTTAACTGTTTACAATATTTGTGGTATATAATGTAGCCATTAATGACCACATGATCCACACAAGATGAACCCCAATGGCTTCTAAATAGAGAATGGATGAAAAGTTCATGAATATTGAGCTTTATATGTGAATCAGATCAAATACAATAATTAGTTAACCTAGCTTTATATAAAATATACATACATGTTCTAATAATTGTATTTTACTTCATACAATGCATATGTGTGTGGAAACATTACATTATTATTCAGCTCACTCCCCACATTGGGGCTTTTCAGTGACCGATTACATCAAGTACTATGATTACTTATGTTAGCAGACTATTTATCTTTACAACAATGAGGATATGATATTACTTTCCTAACTGTGTTTATCCTAACCCACCCTGCCAATTTTGCCCTGTGGGAGGGAACCGGAGCAAAATATAAAATTCAATTCCTTTGAAAACACCTAAATTGCAATCCCTAAAATTTAAAAAAATTTTCTTAAATCGCCTTAGATCGCCTAAAATCGCATTAAATATGAACCGTTTACTTTCCGAAGTGGCTATATCTACGGGCCTTGAGAAGTATTTTCCCCAAAGTCTCTCCATGCAAAGCCTCGCCAAAGTTTCCCCAAAGTCTCCCCAAAGCCTCCCCAAAGTCTCCCACTGTGCACCCTTTCCGCGCAGATTTGGATCACGTGACCTATGACGTCACTTCCTGTTGAAAAAAGCTGATTCAGCACTTTTTAATTTTTTTTCCAATATAAAAAAAGGGTACGCTCCTTCAGTCCTCTTCCTGCTCCCTCTTTCAGACCTGGAGTGGAGTTAGCCTGTTCCATTGTTATTCCAAACCTTGTGGGTCTGGAAAATAGAATTGACTTCTGGGTTATACCACACGTAAAAAAAATAAATTTTTCTCTATAATAAAAGAATGGAAACAACAGAGGCTAGCTGCAAGTCCAAGTCTAGCATCTCCGGAACCCTAAGGGAGTGGCACAACTGGCTAACCACCCACGTACCGTCATCCATCAGGAAAGGTGTGTCCGACGCATTTAACACCATGAGGAAGAAGGTTGTCAAACTGTACAGTGGCAAAGAGGAAGAAGAAGACCAATGGTACGACGCAAGGGAGAATTTTAACGATGAGGACGAACAGTGGTACGACGCCAATCCAGAAGAGGACATAAAACCCATCCTAACCAAACACGGTATTAAAAAGAAGGTGAAGAAGTATGTTATCAATCCCAAAGGTGCGTACGACCCAGTCCACTTCCTGAATATCATAAAGGACGAGGTTGAGGCGCTCATAAATTCCGAAACGGAACGGAGAAACGTAAACATGTCCCTAACATGTGAAATGGTAAGAAATGATCCGAAAACTGGGGAGGAAGTATCAGTCGTGACCCACGTCAGGTCAAAAACCCATAAACTCGTCGGCACGGACCACACGGAAGAGGCTCTTACCACCATGAGGGAAAAAATTCTGAAGTTCTTTTCAGGGTACCAAAAGCGTGGTAGTGGGTGGAGGCTCCGAAGGGTAGATCTTCTCGGAATCCATATCGGAGAATTCCAACCGCTGAAGGGAAAGAACCACATGCCGCTACCTAAGTCGATCGAAAAAAAGAAAGCGATCATCAACATGAAGAATGACGACCATGAGTGCTTCAAGTGGGCTGTGACCCGCGCGCTGTACCCAGTCGACAAAACCCTGAAAGAATTACAAGGATCCTAAGAAAACAGGCTAAGGAACTAGACTGGGAAGGAATAGAGTTCCCAACCCCTCTAAACAATATAAAAAAAAAAATAAAAAATAACAACACCGGCGTAAACGTATTCAGCGCCGACGAGAGCCTAAAGATATACCCTTAACCAAATTGAGAATGGGATCCCAGCTCACAAGGTTATTCCTATGGAAAAACCACTACAGCGTTATCAAGGATATGTCCAGACTCGTAAGTACACAAATTAATGATTACGGGCACAGGAAGTATATCTGTGATTATTGCCTTAACGCATTCGGTTCGGATGAGCTCTTACAAAACCATCTGGAATTATGTTCAGGCAGCGACTATCAAAGGTATGAATACCCGAAACACGGTAGTATTACAAAGTTTGAAAATGATGAAAGGATACAGACCGTTCCGTTCGTCATCTACGCAGATTTTGAGTGCTACATCGAAGGGTTGGACACGGTGGAACAAAACCTCAACATGTCAAGCACCATCCAATACCAAAAGCATAATCCCAGCGGATTTTGCTACTACATCAAGTGTTTCGATAACTCCATCTACGAGCCTAAGCTGGTACACTATACCAAACAGCATGAGGGAGAAGACGTTACCAAAAAGTTTGTAGACCTTCTTGAGGAGGAGATTCACAACATATACAATAGGTTCAAAATCGAAAAACCTATCAAAATGTCTCCCGAAGGCACAATCAATCATGAGAACGCAATCGAATGCTACGTCTGTAACGCAGAATTCACCGAGGAAAACCATAAGGTTAGGGATCATTGTTACTACACCGGGACATATAGGGGTGCGGCACATAATACGTGCAACATCAAAATGAAGCATCCTAATTTCATTCCCGTACTCTTCCACAACCTCGAAGGGTATGACGCCCACCTATTCATCAGAAACTTAGGGGTAAGCAGCGGTAATATCAATTGTATCCCTAAAACGGAAGAGAAGTACATTTCCTTTACCAAAGAAGTCGAGGTTGATGAGTTTAAGGGTGAAGATGGTGAAAAAAGGAAGATCATAAGAAAACTGAGGTTCCTTGATTCCTTTAAAGCTGGGTTACAGTCCATTCTGCGCATGTCTCAAATGTGTACACATTTTGTAAACATTGTCATAGAAAAATATTACGTAATGCTATAAACTGATAGCATTTCAGAGAAGATGGCTGACGCACAGGAGTGCCAAAATTCTAATTGTTTTTAACTCGCTTATATATCCACATCAAAGCAAGAAATACGGTCAAAAAAGAAACTTTATATCTAAAAAGATGTATCTAAAGTGTGTTTTTACGAATATAAGTTATTCCGTTGTGCAATTGTTTCAAAATCAAATAGAAACTATATAATGTGTATGAAGCCGCTTGTGTATCTTGCTGGGTGAAACTATTAAAACGTGAAAGTATTTTGTGGTGTCGGATTGGCAAAATTAAATTATACAAAATAATATGAATTTCCCCCAGTCATTGGATAAGTAAGCTCTTGTTACAAATGGAAATGCATATCAAATATCAATTTCAACACGCTACAACAAAGTTGACAATGGCGACTCGCGACCATCTACTTGAGAGTTTCAAAGGCAAATCCTTCCAAATATGCATTTCTGGTCTCCAGAACGGCAATTGATAAAACTAGAATAGTGAAGCGAATAGTGCGAATAGTCGACGAATAGTACGAATAGTCCGCGAATAGTCGACGAATAGTGCGAATAGTCCGCGAATAGTCGACGAATAGTGCGAATAGTCCGCGAATAGTCGATGAATAATACGAATAGTCCGCGAATAGTCGACGAATAGTACGAATAGTCGACAAATAGTGCAATAGAGACTTTGTAAGGCTTTGCAGCAGTGCTGTAGAACTAAATTTACCGGGGGGGGGCTCTGTTGACAAACATGAAATCGTGAAAACATTCGTTGACGTACGTCAATGACGTCATACGTAACCGGTAAAAATTACGGGAACCACTGAGTATTTCAATAAAATATAAAACACCGGTAACTTCGAAAATAAACATTTTAATATTGTAGCTTTCGACTAAAATTCAGTCATAGTCAGGAAACATATTCCATATTTTTTAAAATTTATAATCATTCCTGATGGTAAGTGGTAACCATATGAGTCATAAATTTTACTGATGGAATTTTATAGGAATTTTACTTGTAAGTTATGGCGTTGTAAGTGAAGATTTAAGGGCTTAAGTGATTTCGTGTGCTTGGAAAACGTGATTTACATCACGAAACAAGAGAAGATATCGATTTATTATTTAGGCCCGTTTTTGGGCGAATTTGTTCGCACGAAGCGAAAACCAAATTTCGGCAATGTGATTGGTCAGCGAAAAAATTGGATCAGTTCCTACTCTTTTACTTGTCGCTTCGCGCGAACAAATTCGCCCAGTGGAAAACGTCATTCTAGTGATTGTCATCAGTGGCGCCGTGGCCGAGGGGTGGGGGCAGGGGGGGGGCATGGCCCTCCCCTATTGTTGACACCCGTCGGAAAATTGCCAATGCTGCCGGAAATTGTCGGAAAATTGTCAAGGTTGTCGGAAATTGTCAAAGTTGTCGAGGGGGGAGGGGGTGTGAAGGTTTAAAATGTTGTCGTCCGGAAAACTTTTTGTTTTGTCTGAAAATTTTTTCGATTTGTCGGAAAAGTACTGCCCTTGCCCCCCACCCCCCCCTCCCCCGATTTATACCGATTGCGTATGACGTCATTGACATCAACGAATGTTTTCACGATTTCATGTTTGTCAATAGAGCCCCCCCCCCGCCCCGCTTCGGTAAATTTAGTTCTACAGCACGGTGGAAAGTCTTGCAAAGTCTCTATAGCACTATTCGTCGACTATTCGTACTATTCGTCGACTATTCGCGGACTATTCGTACTATTCGTCAACTATTCGCGGACTATGACTATTCGCACTATTCGTGGACTATTCGTGGACTATTCGCACTATTCGTCGACTATTCGCACTATTCGCTTCACTATTCTAGTTTTATCAATTGCCCTCCAGAACCAACCAGGAGATCGAAAAGAATATTTCGCGAAAAGGTATGCATCGAAATTGTAGTATTGGCCGGTGGAATACTCTGCTGATCGAGCTTGTATACGAAACATCAAAACAGATTTAATTGTTTATTGGGATATTTCAATTATGTTAATATTGTTATATTTCGTCATTACAAAACTTTATTGTGCACTTATAGCGCTGTGGAAACCCAGACGGATCAGCAGACATATGAAACAATGCAGCCATGAGCCATTGCCAGCTATGCAGACAATGTTCAGCAAGTATATGTTCAGTAATCAGTATATGTTCAGCAAGTATATTTTCAGTATATGTTCAGCAAGGGAAACAGTGATGGAATCATGTAAAGATTCTTACTCCTAAGCAGTACGAATACATTATACAACTTCTTACAATGAAGGTATGTATAACATTTTATGCTTTCCTGAATCCTGGTGAGAAGAAATATGACTTTTGGGTTTATTGTGAAATCCATTTTCTTATCACATTTTCAAACAAATCTTTTGATCATTCTGTAGGCATGTTAAGGGCACAGTAGCACCTGCTGATTGATATGTTTAGAGCATTAATTAGAGCACTTAAATGCTTTTTTGGAAGCCAAATTTTGATTTGAATGAACATGCAGTAATAAAATCAAAATTTGGCTTGATTAAGTGCTTTTAAAACACATTGCTCAGCAGGCACTAATGTGCATTTAAACAGGAATAAAATTAATTGTAAGTCTTCTTTAGGTATGGGGATTGGTAATGGAAGTGATGACCGAAGGCAAAGTGCCCCTAACATAGCCCCTGCCCCTCCTCCTTCAGCCAAAGAACTTGTTGAAACCCATTAGTCTTAAGATTCAAATGATCACTGTAGACAAGTGTCTGGCACTTAAAACTGCTGGGTAGGTGGAGCTCATAATCCCTGAAAGACAGTCAACCTTGGAAAGGGAAAATTCTGATTATACAAACTCCTGGACCCAACTAGTGGGTCAGGCTGAAGTAAGGGGCAAGGAGTAATTTTAAAGAATAAAAATATCAACGTCAGTGTCAAATGTTGTGCTGGAACATCCAATGTATTTGATAACTTGTCTTTTATAAAATGAAATATTACTGTCCATAAAGATTTAACCAATTATCATGATAAAGGCTTTCATTTGTTAGCAGAATTTGCTGTGTTTAGTAGACAGAGAAAGCTTAAAATAAGTTTAAAGCAATGGGGCTATAAAGGCTAGTTCATACAAGCAATTTTGAACTGCAATTTTCTTCTTTTGTTGTGTGTGTTTGAGTGAATATCACAACAAATATATGAGCTAAGCCTTGCAAAGTAATATTTCCTGTAATTTTGCTAAATCACATACTGTATCCCGAAAGGAGAAAATCACAGTTTAAAATCGCTTGTGTGAGTGGGCCTTAACATGCATGCAGGTGTGAATTACCCAAGTTCTTTCAAAATATTTAAAATGATCCTCTCTGTCATGGGATCGAGATAATTGCAGTAAAATGGGTTAATGAAATAATAAAGTTTTCCTCAATGATCAATAACATAATAACAACATTTGCAACAAATATTTACAATCTAGCAGGTTGATACCCAGAGTATATCCCATTTGGAGAAGGATATTTTTTCCGTATTGCTGTAACACAACAGCTTGGATTCCTTGGAATCATTCTCCTGTTCCCACTTCCTTATCTTTTCATGTTGCCAGAGTACATATTGTTTGTAAGCAGCATGGTGAACATTTTCATTGTTTCTAATATTATTTAACACTAAACATTCTTCCCGGCCCTGTAATGCCTGGCGAGGTCCAGAACGTTTCCATCAAGTACTAACTGTGGGAACAGAGGGGCTAGGGTCATGCAAGGCTGTATTGTTTGTGTACAGCATTTGTTTTCCAATTGTGTTGGCATTGCAACACAGCATCCACATTCGCAACACTCTGGGACATTTTCTGGGTTTTCCTCTATGTCTGGTTGAAGCGGTGCACCTGGCAATTCATTATTTAACCAAATCAGCAAATGTAGCTGGCTGACACTGTATAGGACATTTAGGCTGACGCTCTTAGGGCATTTAAAATTAAATCCATTGCTTCCACAAGATTCTGAAATGTAAAGATATTTATCATTAATTAAATGCAAACTTTAAGACTCAAGCACAGTGAAATACTGATATTTTTTACCACAAATTCCTCTATAGACTTGTATAGACGGGTAAACTCTTTTTACATAATTTGATATTTTATTCGGCAAGGATATGCATAATTATACAGAGTATGTAATAAAACAAATCATATGTGTTAAAGCTTTCAAAAATGTACTGTCACTCAATTGTACACTGTATATGTCTGTGCATATTCTTGACAGGCAAAGTATTAAACTATGTAAACAAAGTTTATTCATGTATTGTTAGATGATCATTATCCTTCGTTTAGAGTGAACAGTCACAATGAACAACATTACATATTCTCAAATGAACATTGCTCAGGCCATTTTTTGCCTAAACGAAACATGTATAAACTACAATGAGCGAAAATAATAAGATTACATGTACTGGGTACATGTGTGAATCACGTTTATAACGAACAGTATGACGAACAGTGTTAGTACATAATAGCAATAATACAAACTCACCGTCTGGACACTGTCACGTTCTTGAACCCTTCGATTGTTCATACATGTATCAAAATCCTATTCGTGGCACGCGCTTGAGCAAAAACTACCCGTACTTTTGCAGGCTCTCTACCGAAAACAGAAGCCGCGACATGAACATATCGTCTCCACATATCTTCCAGCGAAAAGCTTAATTTCTCCGAGTACTTCGATCTGCCATGACAGCAACAATGACTCTGACAATGTGTTTCGACGAACAAATAACCCAAGGAAAGGTTCATGTTTACTTTGGCACTTCCAAAGTTTATTTTACAATGCCGAACATTATATTCAGAATACGTACAATGGGTTGCGAACTGGCACCCGGCACCTTTGCTGTGTCGGCCTCTTCTGGATATTTCATTAACGAAATACACGAAAGAAAAATGTCGAATTAATCAGCAACATATCTTCCATTGGTGGTCTGTTAAAATATTTAATTGCTTGTCTTTCAGAGCACAATTTAAAAAAAAAATTAACTTCACTCCTGGTTCCTTCATTTATAATTTGTTTAGTGCATGCATAGCCGTATACTTCATATTATACAATTGAAGTGGATCCAAACCAAAACAAAAGATGTAAACAAAGCCCGCACATGCGCAGAATGGACTATAACCCAGCTTTAAGTTTATGGCAAGCTTCCTGGACAAGCTCGTCAAGGGTCTGGGAAACGACGACTTCAGAAATTTGGAGATAATGACAGCACATCACACAGAAAAACAGCAGTCTTCATTAAGCTGAATAACGAAAACATCAGTGATATGGACTACAAAAGAGCTCGGACCGTGTGGCATGCTTTCAACATGCAAACCATGAGGGTGTACCATGACCTATACCTGCAAACAAACGTCCTGCTCCTAGCAGACGTAATGGGAAACTTTTGAGGGGTTTGTAAGGCAAACTATGGGTTAGATCCGATGTGGTACTACAAAGCGCCCGGACTTGCTTGGGATGCTGCACTGGGGTCAACGGGGGTTTAACTGGAACTCATCTCCGATCCGGACATGTACCTGCTAATCGAAAAGGGTATCAGGGGTGGGATTAGCATCATTACCAAAAGGTATGCTAAAGCAAGCAATAAGTATATCAGAAATCATAATCCGGAGGAGAAAAGCGTATATCAACCCTATATGGATGCAAGCAACCTGTACGGTTGGACAATGAGTCAACTCCTACCCGTCAAGGACTTCGAATGGATGGACTGTGAGGAGTTGGAAGGGTGGAGAAACTATGGTTGTATCCTCGAAGTAGACCTGGAATACCCCGACGAACTACACGACAAACAAAATGAATACCCCCTCGCACCCGAAAGAATAGAAGTCAACAGGGTGGAGAAAGCTCATTCCGAACCTAAACAACAAGGAGAATTACGTTGTTCATCACAAGGCGTTAAAGCTATACCTTGACCTAGGACTAAGGTTAACCAAAATACATCGAGTTGTAAGGTTCATTGAAGAGTCATGGCTGGAGGAATATATCTAAATCAATACGGACCTGCATACCAAAGAAAAAATTAAACGCGAAAGTTAATATTATGCGGTTTCGATCCTTGCGTTCTATTGAATTTCAAGACCATTGCATCAGAAACTGGAATCTATCACAGCCTGAAAATTGTATTTTTAGCATCTACTGTCCATAGCCTTTCCGTCGATGCCTTGCCGGTGCATCAAAAGATACAAAGAAGGCAAAATGAAGATACAAAGCAGGTTATTTCAAGTGCATAAAAATCAGTTTTTTCCAGCTGTGCAACCGAAAAAGACGATAAAGTTAGAATTTTATAAGTGAGGGTTAGGGTTTGGGCTGTCTCGAATCTGATGTTCTATTGAATTTCAAGTTCCCTTTAGCGGAGACGTGAATTTGTCACGGTCTAAAAATTGTATTTTTAGAATCTACGTTCCATACACTTTCTACCGATGCCTTACTCGGGTACTTCACTTACTCGACTTACTCGACTTGACTTACTCCACTTACTCAAAAGATAGTCCATGAAAATCAAAAGCAGGTTATTGCAGGTGCATAATCGAAAAAGACGTGAAAGTTAATATTATGCGGTTTCGAACCTTGCGTTCTATTGATTTTCAAGGCCTCTGCAGCAGAAACTGGAACTTGTCACTGCGCGAAAATTGTATTTTTAGAATCTACGGTCCATAAGCTTTCTATCGATGCCTTACTCGTGTATCAAAAGATATTCGTTGAAGAAACATAGCAGGTTAATCCGGGTGCATAATCGAAAAAGACGTGAAATATAATATTATGCGGTTTCGAACTTGGTGTTGTATTGATTTTCAAGGCCCTTGTAGGAGAGACTTGAATTTGAGACAGCCTGCAAATTGTATTTCTGAAATCTACGATCCATGAGCTTTCTGTCGATGCCTTATTCGTGCATGACTAGGCCGCACGTGGAGATAAAAAGCTGTTTTTTTCCAGGTGTGAAATCGAAAAAGACGATAAAGTTAGTATTATATAAGTGAAGGTTAAGGTTTGGGCTGTTTCGAATCTGATGTTCTATTGAATTTCAAGGTCCCTGTAGCGGAAACGTGAATATACACCGGTCTGAAAATTGTTTTTCTAGAATCTACGGTCCATAAGCTTTTATCGATGCCTTATTCGTGTATCAAAAAACAGTTCATGAAGAAACAAAGCAGGTTATTCGAGGTGCATAATCGAAAAAGACGTGAAAGTTAATAATACGCGGTTTCGAACCTTGCGTTCTATTGATTTTCAATGCCTCTGCAGCAGAAACTGGAATTTGTCACGGTCTGAACATTATATTTTTAGAATCTACGGTCAATAAGCTTTCTATCAATGCCTTACTAGTGTATCAAAAGACAGTCAATGAAGATAAAAAGCATGTTATTGCAGGTGCATGATCGAAAAAGACGTGAGAGTTAATATTATGCGGTTTCGAACCTTCCGTTCCATTGAATTTCAAGGCCTCTGCAGCAGAAACAGGAATTTGTCACGGTCTGAAAATTGTATTTCTATATCTACGGTTCATAAGCTTTATATCGATGCCTTATTCGTGTATCAAAAGACAGTTTATGAAGAAACAAAGCACGTTATTCCAGGTGCATAATCGAAAAAGACGTGAAAGTTAATATTATGCGGTTTCCAACCTGATGTTCTATAGACTTTCAAGCCCTTGTAGCAGAGACTTGAATTTGACTACCCTGAAAGTTGTATTCCTGGAATCTACGATCTATAAGCTTTCTGTCGATGCCTCATTCGTGCATCACTAGGCCGGATGTGGAGATAAAAAGGAGTTTTTTCCAGCTGTTTAATCGAAAAAAACGTGAAAGTTAATATTATATTAGTGAGGGTTAGGGTTTGGGCTGTTTCAAATCTGATGTTGTATTGAATTTCAAGGTCCCTGTAGCGGAAACGTGATTCAACGCCGGTCTGAAAATTATATTTTTAGAATCTACGGTGCATAAGCTTTCTATCGATGCCTTAGTCGTGTATCAAAAAACAGTCCATGAAAATAAAAAGCAGGTTATTCCAAGGGCATAATCGAAAAAGACGTGAAAGTTAATATTTGCGGTTTCGAACCTTGCGTTCTGTTGATTTTTAAGGCCTCAACACCAGAAACGTGAACTTATCACGGTCTGCAATTTGTATTATTAGAATCTACGGTCCGTAAGCTTCGTATCGATGCCTTACTCTTGTATCAAAAGATAGTCCGTGAAGAAACAATGCAGGTTATTCGAGGTGCATAATCGAAAAAGAGGAGAAATTTAATATTATGCGGTTTCCAACCTGATGTTCTTTCGACTTTCAAGGCCCTTGTAGCAGAGACTTGAATTTGGGCTAGCCTGAAAGTTTTATTTCTGGAATCTACTATCCATAACTTTTCTGTCGATGCCTCATTCGTGCATCACTTGGCCGGACGTGGAGATAAAAAGCAGTTTTTTTCCAGCTGTGTAATCGAAAAAAACGTAAAAGTTAATATTGTATAAGTGAGGGTTAGGGTTTGGGCTGTTTCGATTCTGATGTTGTATTGAATTTCAAGATCTCTGTAGCGGAAACGTGAATTTACGCCGGTCTGAGAATTGTTTTTTTAGAATCTACGGTCCATAAGCTTTCTATCGATGACTTACTCGTGTATCAAAAGACAGTTCATGAAGAAACAAAGCAGGTTATTCGAGGTGCATAATCGAAAAAGACGAGAAAGTTAATATTATGCGGTTCGTTTGGACAAGAGTAAAAACTTCGGAGGCCTTTCGCGAGGTTCCTGGCGCCGAGAACGCGGGTTCCTCGCGCTCAGGACGTAGTTCCTGGGGGCTGAGGACAAGGTTCCTGACGTTTAGGACAAACTTCCTGACGCTGAGGACAAGGTTCCACAGCCTATGGCCGTAGATTCCAACAATACAATTTTCTGACTGAAAATTGTATTTCTGGAAGCTACGGTCCATAAGCTTTCTGTCGATGCCTCATTCGTGCATCACTAGACGTCCGTGGACAGAAAAAGCAGTTTTTCCAGCTGCACGTGTAATCGAAAAGGACGCGGAAATTAATATTATACTGTTTCCGACCTTGCGTTCTATTGAATTTCAAGGTCCCTGTAGCAGAAACTTGAATTTACCAGGGTCTGAAAATTGTATTTGTGGAATATACGTTCCAAAAGGTTTCCATTGATGCCTTATTCGTGTATCACTCAAATAATTTCGTGATACTTTCATCTTACTAGTGCCTTACGCGTTTGAGAATTTAACTTTGCCAAACTAAGCTTTTTTGACTTTTTTAAAACGTATTATTCGAGTATTGGCAAATTTTACCATTCAGAGATTTACAAACTAATATTGAAAAGGTAAGAAACAGTTTCATGTATAGCGCATTCACTAATGAGTAATGACAACTTTGAAGCCATACAATTTCCGATAACGACAAAATGCGGCTTGTGTAGCCTTTAGTCGCTCTCAGTGACTAATAATTTTTTTGGGGGGAGGCAAATTTGCCCCCCCCCCCTTGACGCCACCACTGCCCCTTACATTATAAACCGCTTTTTGATAGATCGGCAAAGCAAGTAAAAGGTAGCCTTTTACGTTTTCGTAAGAGTACAGTTTTATGACTTGAAAAATGGCGCAAAATTGGCATAAAAATGGAAATTTCCCCAAATGGGGAAAGAGAAAAGTTCGTCCATTTTTTTACATTTAAAGTGGAGCTACATTTGCGGGCAAAAAAGTAAAGGGTCAGGCCCTGAATTTTTGGCGACTTAATTTTTTTAAATAAAATTTGGTGATGAGGGATTATGTAGATATAATTATAGCTTAGTACCACCGAGATCTGCTAGTCGAGTGGTAATCTCCTGGTGTTGCATGAGGAGGAAGTACGGATCGATCCCAGCTGTAGTTGGAACCGAGACGAGAAAGAGTTAAGTAGAATATAAAAGGAGTTAAAGCAAGTGTAGGCGAGATGGTCTAGTGGTAAGGACAAAGTGTTGCAATTGTGCTAAGTCAGGATCGATTCCTGCTGTAGTCAAAAAGCCTTTTAATGTCAGGCATCGTTGTTATGTTAATTCCACCCGAGACGAGAAAGAGTTAAGTAGAATAAAAAAGGGAGTTACAGCAAGTGTAGGCGAGGTGGTCTAATGGTAAGGACAAAGTGTTGCACGTGTGAGAAGCTAAGCTCGATTCCTGGTTGTGTCGGAATAATTTTGGGCAGGGAAAGGTTCGAATATAATTGTATTAACTTTCACGTTTTGTTCGACTACACATGCAGCTGTAAAAACCTGTTTTTTAACGTCTAATGATGCACCAATCAGGCATCTCCAGAAGGCATAGGAACGTAGATTCTAAAAATACAATTCTCAGTCTGGCTCAAATTCAAGTCTCTGCTACAGGGACTTTGAAATTCAATAGAACGCAAGCTTCGAAACCCCATAATATTAACTTTCACGTCAGTCAATTTCGATTATGCACCTGGAATAAACTGCTCTGTATCTTCATGGACTGTCTTTCGA